GCAAAGAGAAGAAAAGCAGACACATTCTCTGTTGGCCGTTATAAAAACAAAAGATATACATAAAATAAGGGCTTTGTTAACACTGATTGCCCCCGGAGCACTTGTTCAGCATACTTAATAAAGTATGTTTTGATTTCCAAAGCATTAATCGCACAAAATATGAGTAAAACACTGTACTGAAAACTGCAAACTTTCTCTATATAGTGCCTTAACTAGTGCCCATTGTTAACAAAATCTGTTAATTCTTGTTCATTTATTTGTCCCTAATTGGAAAAATCTTCAAACGGAAGCAACCCATAACTGGAGATATTCCAAAGAAGAAGATGGAAGGAGGAGGCACAGCTTGAGTTCAAGGTCCATCAAAGGCAGAATGCAGATGCAGATAAATCAATAAAGGAGCGACTCACCATTGAAAGGATACTGATATAAAACGGCTCCCAAGCCATCAACTAAGGTTTTGAAGTTTAGTTCACTGACAGTTGCATTAAGCGCATCATCAAAAAAGTTCCGAAGAGCCGGCACAATTGGCGATACATCCACATCAGGTGAGAGAAAATCTAGAGCATAGTAGTCACGAGCCATAGCTTCATAATCCCGATTAACAAGGTGAACCACATGACCGATTATTGCAAACCTCGCTTCCTCTGGGGTCTCACTCATCATCCCAAAATCAAGAAAAGCAAGTTTACCCTCAGGCGTTGCCAAAAGATTACCAGGATGCGGATCTGCATGAAAATATCCATACTCAAGCAGCTGTCTCAGGCTGCACTGAATGCCTGCGTTCACCAAATCCAGAACTTTTAAACCTTGTCTCTCAATTGCTTCCTGCTCATTTAGTTTGACTCCATCCACCCATTCCATTGTCAACACTTTGCCACTTGTATAGTCCCAAAAAATATCAGGGACAAGGACATCTGCCTTGTCAGCATACAACTTCTTAAACCTCCTTGCATTCTGCCCCTCCTGCAGACACCTGTCAAAATTAACAATCAAGCCCAACAAAATCTTATAGAATTTTTTTCAGGGCTTACCAAATCACACAATCGTAAAGAGATCTTTTGAACTAACTATATATCTTAAGAAGCAAGTACACCTTTGAGTTAAAGGCCAAAATTTGGATGGTACTGTGAGCATGTATCTATACCATAGGTTCATAAGGAAGCTAACCTGCACGTAGTTGAGCTCCTGATAAACTCTTCGAGCAAATTCATCGATAAGAGCAACGACATCACTGGTAATGATGTCGACGTATTTATTGATGAGAATTCCAAGACCTCTTATCAGGTAGAAGTCGAGTCCTATTGCTTCTTCAATACACGGTCTTTGCACTTTTACAGCAACTAATTGACCAGAATATCTCAGCCGCGCTTTGTAAACCTGCCCTAAACTTGCCGCAGCTATAGGAGAAGGGGATATAGACGAGTAAATCGAATCAAGGGTCAGCCCCAACTCTTTCTCGATGCAGGCAAATGCTTCGGTATCTGGGAATGTGGGCAGAGCATCCTGTGGTGGTAAAAATAATTAAAGCCAATAACAATCATTAGAAAACTTGCTCTATCTCTCCACAGTCTTCCCTTATTATCCTGAATATTATTGTATAAAAGAACGAGATGTAGAAACTTCAATTCGGAGATTCGAGATGTGCAAACTCAACAAAATAAAATGCGAACAATGCAAACAAAAATGCCCTCTTGATTCTAATGCAATCTACGCATCTGAATTGACATAAATGCATTAACTCATGCACGCACTAGAATTCAGGTCAATCGATTCTTAAAAGGAATCAGGCAGTGCCATAGTAACATGTCCGTATTACGTTAAACTGCAATCTCGGAGCACACAGATGCACATGTCCAGACATCAAGCAGTACCTGAAGTTCAGAGAGCTCCTCCAAGTACTCGGGAGGGCAGAGATCGGGCCTCGTCGACAGCCCCTGCCCTATCTTAACAAAAGTCGGCCCCAATCTGGTGAAAATCCTTCTCAACTCAGCACCTCGCTTCCTCTTATTTTGATCAATCCGTCCATTGCTTTGATCCACCAACAACTTAATTGCGAAAGAACCTATCGCAACCACTATCTCCAGCGCTCTCCCCACTACCTAGCGAGATTGAAATTCCACTTAATCAACCAAATGAACCCCGATTGCAATCTCTCCAGCCAAATTCAAAATCTATGCACGCAAGCTCGCACAATACGCGAATAAACAAGTAATATCCAGCATAAATTACAGCTTAATCACCGGGAGAGAGAGAGAGCGAGAGAGAGACCTTGAGAGGGCGAGGGCCGTATCGGCGAGAGAGGAGCTCGGGAGTGTAGACGGTGGCATTGGCGGCGCGCGCCATGGCTCGAGCCTCGGCTTGGATGTCCACAGCTCGATCGACGCTCAGCACCGGCACGACCGCACCGCCCCGGCCTCCTCCCCCGCCGCCGCCGCCGCCGTCCCTGACCTCCGGCGGCGGACCTCGAGGCCTCGCTTCGACCAGGGCCGCCCTCGGAGCCGCCGCCACCCTCGCCGCCGCTCTGCCTCCGTTGGCGGGCCGCGGGCCCGGAATCGGACGCCACGACGGCGAGGACACCGTGAGAGCGCCGGCAGACATGGGGGCGGTTCGGTTCAGTGGCGAGCGAAGCGACACGGCAAGGCAGGACTTTCAGGATTGGACCATTTTCCACGGAAATGAGATTCTTCCTCTCGGTTTTCCGGAAGATTTTAAGAGAGTGGTAAAGAGGGCGAGAGGCTTCTTATTATTTCTGGCTGGCGTTGTGTGCACACGTGTCCGCTTTTCAGAGGCTGGTGGTATTTTTACCTTTTTTTTTAAATATTTTTTTCTGCTCTAAGTTTATTCAAATAAAAAGTAGATCATCAAAGGTAGGGGTATCGAAAACATCCGAACCGAAATTTTCGGGTCTCCTCAGATCGGGTTCCTTCCGGTTCGGGTAATAGATAGAAAAATGGGTACAGGAGTAGTTCCGAACCGAATCGAAAACACTTTAAATCATGCATCGTCTTCCTCCTAGAGAGCGCCCTCTGAGAAAGTCTTCTTCATCGCTGTCTTTTGCACCCGAACGGTGTTCTCGGGTTGAGTACTGTACAATTTAGGTTGCGAACACACGTGTACCAAACATGTTCGGGTTGGTCTGAGAATCGTGAAACCCCAAACCATTGACACCCATATCGTTAACTATATATCCACTGTTTCTAAAAAAAAAAATTAATTTTAAAGCAATCGTATTTTACATTCGACAATGCACCTAACGAAAATCTCAAAAAAGGTATTAAAACCGATTCATTAGTAATATTAGTAAACGGTTAGTCATTTTCGCTCGTACTTGATTGGAAATTCAATCTCCAATCTTAAGATAAGCTCATATTATATGGATTTGGGACAGGATTAGATGCCTAACTTTGGCTATATCTTCAGTATTTTCTTACGTGAAGCACCACGCCACTGTTTGGCGAAGAGATCAAACAGCACAAGGAACACTGTTTGTTTTTTTTCCTTCTCCGGGGTCCCAATTGCTCGGTTGTCATTTCAACCACCACGAGCGAGGGGCGACGTCTTCGTAGCTACCTTCCAAGAAGATCTTGCCTTCTTCGGCTGAACTACCACTGCACAAGCGAACAAACAGACAAAGAAATTATCCGTTTCGAAGGACAACTGAAAAAGAGAAAAATCAACAAGATGCTCGATGATGCTCCGGTGCTTACTACTCGTGGTGTGGACTTAGAGGTGGAGTCGCTTTCGGGTCGAGAGAAATCAAAGCTCGGCTGATCTTTTCTTTGAAAAATCACACTCCCAAAAACAAATATTGTACATATAGAAATAAAAAGAGTAAATATACCGAAATTTTCAAAACTCGATAAGAGAAAAGGGAAAATTATCAAAAGGTCATGAACCTATTGTACGAATGCCAATTCAGCCCATCGACCGACAAAGGAAGAAAGCAAAAAGAAGAAGAAGAGAACAAATTTAGAAAAATTACAAAAATTATCCATATCAACGCTACCCGTCCGGTGGCGCCGAACATGCCATGCAAGACGGCTTGCACTCAGGTTCGCGATTGCAGGCAAAAAATGGCTTAAAAGACTACATCAGCAAATCCTTAAAAGGCCGATGACTAAATTGGCCAAATTAAAAGTTTTATAACTGAATTTGTATCATATAATAAGTTCGGTGCTTTCATAATAATCATCCCAAAAGAAATGTCATACAAGTTATAAAATTTTAAACGCATAATTATAACCTAAAATTGTTCAAGAAAATGTGACCGAAAATTCCAATATGATTTTTTTTTTGTAAAAGCCACAAAAAAACCCTAAATTATGTCTATTGTGGCATATTTACTTAAAACTTTTTTTTGTGACACAAAAAGCTCCAAACCTGTACCTATACGAAATATTTACCCAAAACTTATATAATGTGACACATTTTCCAAAAACTTCTTCTCATGACACAAAAAACTCAAAAATTGTATTCGTGTGACACATTTATCCAAAAAAATATGGTGTCATTGGAAAAAAGTTTGAAGTTTTTGGTGTCGCAAAAAAAATTTTGAGGTAAATGTGTTACACAAGTATAGTTTTTGGTGGGTCCCTGCGCTAGCGTCGCCCCGGGTTTACGTCGTCGGCTGTACGGCGGTTCCCGGGTCACCCAAAAAAAAAAAGTATAGGCTTTGAATTTTTGGTATCACAAAAAATAGTTTATGGCATATTTGTCAAAGTTTGTGGCTTTTTTCCTTTTTTTTTTTTAACACTTTCGATGATAGATTTGTAGCGACGCAAGTCGACGCCACGTCGGCAATTTTTGTTTTATTTTTTTGCCCCTTCTCGTTCATCTCGAAAGGGTGGCAATCGTGGATTGGGCTTGTCGGCCCAAAAAAAAACCGCTCTCATTTAGATTGGAGGGCCCAAGTTCCCACCGGCCCAAGTTCCTACCGGCCCAGCTCAAGCGAACACCCACCACCTGTGACAGAGGGAACATCAAACGGAGAATCGAGAAGCACAATCCACTGCTACCCCACACGTCGCTCTCAGGCTGAAGGGCAAGACCGAGAGAGCGTTGCCCAGCCTCTCGCCGGAGCTCCACAGGAGGAGGAGGAGGAGAGAGGGGCCCTTCAATGGCGTCGTCCAGCAGCGGCCTCACCTTCAAGCTCCACCCGCTGGTGATCCTCAACATCTCCGATCACTACACCCGCGTCAAGTCCCAGCTCCACCCGCCGCCCTCCGCCCACGGCGCCGGCAGCAACGGCGGCGCCGATCCATCCGCCCCGCCGCCGGCCGATCCCCCGAGGGTGTACGGGTGCGTGATCGGGGTCCAGAGGGGCCGCACCGTGGAGATATTCAACAGCTTCGAGCTCCTGTGCGACCCCGCCACCGACTCGCTCGACCGCGCCTTCCTCGACAAGAAGCAAGAGCTCTGTTCAGTACCCCTTCTCTCATCTCCCTTTCTCTGTATCTATCTTTCGTTTTCCGCCTTTGTTTACGATTGTTAACGGATAATATGCGTGATTGTTTGCTTCCATTGTGCGGACGGAGTGGGTTAGGGTTTTGAGCTTAGCTTTTGTTTTCTGATTTTTTCTTTCTTTTTTCATTTTTAATCTGGGACAGATAAGAAGGTTTTTCCTAATTTCTATGTGCTCGGATGGTATTCGACCGGGAGCGATGCAGAAGAATCCGATATGCACATTCACAAAGCTGTAAGTAATGATTGTGTAATCCTCTAGTGGATAGCTGTATTGATCCTTGTGTTCACAGTTATTGTTCCATCCATTTGAGCCTTTGAGTTCGACATAGAGAGTGCCTTCCTCTGTGTTCGCTCGGGCATTTTAAGGAATTAAGGTTTTTTTTTTTTTTTTTAATGTCACTGTCGAAGCATATATCCAGTGACGGTTCGATTTTGAAGTTGTAGACTTCAAATTCTCCGGTCATAGTTGCATTTTGGTGTTGTCACGAATGGTGGATATTTCATGTGATACTTGTTGATCTTTTTTTTATTCATTTTTTGTGGTGGAACCCCTTTTCAAGTCAGTAGACAAAGCTCTTTCATGAGCTGCAACCCCTGTCCAAGCAAAATATGCTCTCCACAGACAAATTATAATTTCTATGTTTACTGTGTGTTGGGTGTCTAGACTACAAGATGATGATGGCTGTATGCATTTACACTAGCTATTGATGAGGCCAATAAAATATATTTGACAGTTGATGGATATCAATGAAAGCCCTGTCTACGTTCTTCTCAATCCTGCAATTAATCATGCCCAGAAGGATCTCCCTGTTACTATCTACGAAAGTGGTAAGTGACTTTAATGTTCTTTTCTGAAAGTTCGTTGATTATCTTGTTATCAGTATGGGAATTCTATTCTCGTTTGTCACTAAGTTAATGTTTGCCGTTCCTCATTCTGACCATGCAAGTGTTCTAGTGCATTGGCTAGATAAAGTGTTTCCTCTTGGCCTTCTTGGTATTTAGTGTTTCAGGAGCATATCATACATGAAAGAGGCAGGTTGTTATCACAGTCAGGAGTCCAGGATGTTCTTAGAATTATTTTATTAGAAGGAAATATTTTTGCTCTGGGAAAGTTTTGATAGCGTGCCTTATGGACCATTTTTTGGGACATTTGCTTCTGCCTGTTTGCGGCAGACTATCGAAGACCATTTGTTGCTACTTCTAATGTTTACTGAAACTTTTAGTTGATTTATTTTTCACAACTAACAACACTAGATTTTCCTTTATATTGGATGGTTATCCACACAACCGTAGAGCTGCATGTCATAGATGGGATTCCACAGCTTATATTTGTCCGTGCTAGCTACACCATTGAGGTATGTTCGTCTATTTTGTCATGCATCCGATTTTTTTCTACTTATTCTGAACTAGGATAATTGAATTGTTTGTTTCTTGATTTAAAGACGGTAGAAGCAGAAAGGATATCAGTTGATCACGTTGCTCATCTAAAGCCATCTGATGGAGGTACAGCGGCAACTCAGTGTAAGGACTCATCACCTTCCATACTCTCTAGGAAGTTCTGGTCCATTATCTAACATCATCTGCACAATAGACACGTTGACCCCCCTTCCTCCCAGAAACTAAAAGCAAAAGTCATAAGGCGGAGGAGAAAGAGAAGGCCTCTCTATGGATTAGAGTACAAATAAGCGTAGATAGCAGTCGCATTCTCTTATTTCACCGAAGGAAAAAAGAATTAATCCCACATCTTTTTTGGCATGTGTTCTTCTGCAGTGGCTGCTCACCTCACGGGAATTCACAGTGCCATCAAGATGCTGAATAGTCGAGTTAGGGTGCTTCATCACTACCTTCTTGCGATGCAGAAAGGTATGTGGTTTTTCTGTCTCTTTTAAATCAATTGGGGGTGTTAAAGAAGTTTGAGGGGCCCCCCTCTGCAAAGTTGCAGCCCATCTAGTATAGAATGTGACTGAGACAAGAGAATGAATGAATGTAATTTGAAAGAGATGATGAGTAACGACTCCCTCCTTAGCCATGTTTATGCCCTACCAGAATATTTCTTGCACACACGGGAAAACAAATGAACCAATCGCTGCCATCTCCATATCCTATGTATCCTCTGAAATGTGACTTCTGTCGCTTCAATGTAAAGTGGATTGTTGTGTAGAAGATGTGTATCGATAGGTATGACTACTACAGCTTAGAGGATGTACTGATTGCACATGCAGGTGAGATTCCTTGTGAGAATTCTCTGCTGAGACAAGTATCGAGTCTCCTCAGAAGATTGCCAGCTATTGAATCAGGGAAATTTCAGGATGATTTTTTGATGGTAAGTAGTCTATTTAGTTTAACATGCCCTGAAGTTGAGGTTTCCTTTTTTCCTTTTTAAATTTCGATTTATATGTTGGTTGCTGAATAATTTTGTTGTTCACTTTCTTGCCTAAATTCTTCTCCAATTTGCTTTTCTTCCAGGAGTACAATGATACATTGCTGATTACTTACCTGGCCATGCTCACCAACTGCTCAAGGTATGAGCAAACTTTTGAATTATTTACTTAGGACTTATTTTGAGTATGTTTGGGAGTCATGATTCAGGAGGAAAATACTGCTGTAAACCATCTTCTGGGTGGTCTAAGGCTTTGTTTTTTTTTTGTTTTTGGGTCGGATTCTAAGGCTTTGTTCGGACAGGAGGATTGTGTATATACATCAAACCACACCTGTCATGTGCCTGAAAGCTTATCCAACCACTGCTAGTTATTAGCTGAATCTTTAAGAATATATACTATAAGTCATCAGGAACAATTTGTGACTCAGATGACATCTCCCTAGTATTTGACTTTTTGGGGAATCTACTTGCTAGGAATTGCTCCTTGCAGATATGGTGTTGGAAAACCTTCTCCAATATCTAGCCTTGAGCAACACAGTGCATTTGTTCTTTCACAAGGTTTCAATTTAGTCTGTCCATCGGAAGCCTAGGAACATGATAAACCTCGGGTACCGGTCAGCTAAGCTTTCGGAGAAGTAGGAAAGTCGATCGCTTTCTTTTGTGAAATTTGCTTAATTTTGGTTGGTGTGCTTTAGAACTTAGAAGGTTTTAAGGTGCACAGACAAATTGATAATGATTGGATTGACATTAACTTGTCAATGCATGTGTTGGCTCTCAACGTTGTGAGGCTTCATTTCAGAAACTCAGATAATTCTTCTCCTCTTTGCAGCACAATGAACGAGCTAATTGACAAATTCAACACCGCTTATGACAGACACAGTAGGAGGGGAGGAAGGACCCCCTTTGTTTGAATATTCCTTGTTTCTATTGGACCACCTTCAATCGATTATGGTTCTCCATCCCTCCTGGCATTGCGCTTGATTTGTGGCGTACTGTCAAAGTCCAGCCTTGTGCATGACGCAAGCGATCATGGCCAACACATATTGAGCAAGCCTCGACCGAGGCCCATACCGCATAGAAGATGGGATCAGGGAGATGAAAATCAAAATCTAATAGAAATCTTTATACATTCGCATTTTACTAAGGTTCTCTCACTATTCGGTTGGGATGTTCCACCCTCCTGGGCATTTGGTAGTTCCTGGGGCTGACAATAGTGAACTAGGGAACCTTGCTGCAAGATTTTCATGTTTTACAGGCATGTTTTGACCTTCGTTGTTGCCTTGAGATGATGGTCCTGGTATAGCTTTTAGCATCGTGTAGTGATTCTATATATTAACTTCATGGATTTTGAGACTCTGTTGCCGAACTTGTATACTTGGATCCTGTAAGAGGCTCTTGCGTTCGCTTCTAGCTTCCATCTCTTTCATCCAATAACATTGGTAACTGGCTAGGATAATGGGTCAAATTCTTGTAGGCCTTCGAGCATGTCAAGTGGTTGTTTGTATATAAAACATAAACAGTGTGATTCATACAAATGAACAAATGTGGCGAAACTTCATTTTCGTTTTATTCCAGCTCTCATTGAGAGTGCCTCACAACATTCAGCATGTAACAACAAACTTGAAAGTTCTTGCCCACTGGCTTTGACCACTCCCAAATGTGGAATCAATGAGAGAAGAAATCAAATTGGTAAAGTTCAATTTCTTGCCGACTCATGCTCCCTAGAAAAGGTTCTCTTTAAGCGTCAAACAGATAGTTCGGTTTTGGAGACGAGAATCCCATCACTATCTGCATACAACCATTCGCCGTCGCGGATCAGTGCGCCGGCGATGTAGATAGGGGCATGCTTTTCCCCGACCCCTTTCTTGCTCGATTTCAGGGGATTCGAAGCCAAGGCCCTAATGCCGATCGCGCACTCATTGATCTCGTCCACATCTCTAATGCAGCCATTCACAACAATCCCAGCCCATCCCGTGTTCTGAGCCAACTGTCCGATGTTCCCACCCACCAGTGCACATCTCAAGCTTCCTCCGCCATCAATGACCAACACTCTCCCTTCGCCTCTGGTTTCAAGCACCTCCCGAACCAGGACATTATCCTCGAATACCTTGACAGTGACAATGGGACCGGAGAACGTTCTCTTCTGGCCGTATATCTGGAATACTGGATGCAGCACGCGCAGGTCGCCACTTGCTACGACGGACGCGTTTGAGTCGCAGACTTCGGCTGTTGCCAGAGAAGCCATTGTGTTATCCTGCAATATCAGTGGGTTAGTTCTTGGCAATTGAGTAAAACATCGACCATCCAGATAGTTTTCACTTAATCCCTCCGCAGAAAGCCGACAAGATATGGACCTATGGTGGAACAGTCTTGCATCACTCTTTATTGCACCAGTAAACTATTCATTACCAGTCTCCTTAGATCATACATCAATCTAAAGGAGAACCTAGATGACGTGTTATAACCTCAAACAAAGCAACTTGTGTACATTTGCACATTTTGCAGACTGATGCACTGGAGGTTCTGTTTCCTGTAAGGAGCTGAAGAAAATAGCTTGTGCACACCTGAGCTGACGCCATAAGATCTACGTAAAAGTTGCAGCAGCAACAAATGCTGCAATAAGCATCATCCGTAAAAGATACACAAAAGCGTAGCTGTACTAGTGACGTTGTTTCTGATTAATATATATATGTTGGACCACACGTCAGGAAATTTCAGTGCTGCAGAATTGCTCCTTATATTTTGCTGGCAACAAGCTTCACCAGACAACATTTAGACCGTTCTGAAATATTTAGAGATCATTTTTAACATTGTCAAGGGATTAAACGTTCAGAGGATGATTACACTCCAAAAGCCATTGAACTAGTTCAGTACCACCATCAAACCTATCTCATCGATCATTGCATTTTTTTCTGTACATCTCACATCATTTGCCAGATGGCAGGTTAGGTTGATATGTTGAACACTCGAGAATGCGACAGCTAATTTCCATATGATCTCTGAAGCATTTGTTAGAATTTTCAAGAATCACCGTTTCAGTAACACAAGTTTGTGCACAGCCACAACTTGCAATAGCAAACTGGTAGTTAGCTAACATCAATAGAACAGAACGAATGAACTACAAAGTCGTCAATGTTCACACTGTAATCCCTTGCCATATGTGATGAGCTTTATCAGATGCTGCTGCAAACTCATCACCACCATGAGTATCCTAAGGCATCTATCCACGGATGCCACCGTCACTCAGCCTCTCCTTAGCATGGTCAACCGGCAAATTCCTCCTAATTTTGTTGGGGGCAAGTGGCTCGAGCTAACCGAAACCAGATAACAAGCAACAGCATCTTTTCTTTTTTTAAATCCAGAGTCAACGTCCCACATAAGCAGGGAAATGAGTAGTAAGCCAAGGTAGACTTGAATCACATCATTAAGCAACAGAAAACTTCCGAAAAAATACTCTTTTAAGAAATTAAGAAACCACCCGTGAACCCAACTAGAAAACACAAGAATGAAACAAACAAAGCACAAACACTTCTTAATTCGAGGCACAACGACCCATCGCGATAAACTAATCAAAGGTCATTAAGAATGACTAGATTCATGCATTTGCTATCTGGAACTCTCCATCGCACTATTAATCTGATAAAAAGATCACATTTTTTTTTCTCTAGAATATATAAACAGAGAGGCCAACTAACGCTTCTAACCCATCACCCAGTTCGATTAAACAAAACCATCAAGATTTGACTCTGTCCTAAACTCCACCGAACAGAACTCTCAGACACGCAATTCTAAAGAAATTCTTCGCTTCCAACAAAGAATCCGATACTACTAACAAAGTGAAAACCAACGACGAACCACGAAAGAGCACAGGAAATATTAACGAATTCGAATGCTGAGAGAAGCTAAAGAGATAAGAAAACAAGAAAAGACAAAAAAGAAAAGAAGAATAAAAGACTGAACTGGGTGGGCTTACAGTTACACGCTGAGCTGAGGGAATCGAACAGAGAGACCAGCGAAGCGATACCCAGAAGCGAGTTGGCGAAGCCCGTTCGTATTGCGATGGCGCTGTTTGAATCCGCAGGCTTTAATATGAAATGCGGATAAGCCTTCGGATTCACCATATTTAAAGGGCGAAAAAAGCGACTGTATAGGCGGGGATGATGCGAGGAAAGTGCAGATATTTATCAAACTTGACGGCGAGAAGAAGGAGAAGAGGGAGACGACGATGGGCGTCTGTGCCGCCGCTGACATGTTCTGCAACGTAATCCGCGCCGAAGCGGGGAAGTTGCTGTAAAGAGAGAGTGGCCTTTCCGGGTCCTTTCTTGGAAGCAACATCTTGAAATGTGTGCCCTTGTGCACTTTGCCAAGATTCATTAATCGCTTACTAAAAATATAAAGTATATTTATTCGAAGCATTTCCTTTTTCCAAAACACGTTATTTTTCAAAATATGACGAGGTAAGTTATTAATGACTTTAGTAATTTTAACTCGTGTCGCGGGAACATCCGTTAACGGACCATTTTCTAAATATGAATTCATATCGAGGTGTGTTTGTTTCGGTGATTTTTCGCGAATTAATTTTCTGAACTTTCACGCGTTTGATTTGATGAAAATGATCGGTCAATAGAAAACTATCTCCGGTAAAAGTGACATGCATGCTTAAAGTTACGAAAATGAATTCGCTAACATAAAGAGGAAAAAAAATTTTCCTAAAAAATGATTTATTGAAAATCAATTTTTATTATCATGAAGTTTTCTTTGAAACAGGGTGTAATTTGTTTTAATGAAAAAAAATTCTGCGAATTAGTTTTCGAAATTTTCACGTGTTTGGTTTACTGAAAATAACCAGTAAGTGGAAAACCATTTAGGATCATTTGTGATTTTACAACAAACACGCCCTAAATTCATGTAAATTTTCTTAATTAGTTTTCGAGCACCGTGCGTGCTTGACTGCATTTATGTGATTTTAGAAGAGTATGATCTTAAGATATGCATAATGACAACATCTAAAAATAATTTTACGAGGCAAAACTTCTTTAAAACCATGCATAGAGGAAATGCATGCAACTATGGAATGTGGAAGTAGAGGAGGAGAGCAATTGTTGTCGCATCGGCACGTTAAAGGAGGAACGAAATACAAGTTTGGAATGTGAAAGTAGTGAAAAAGTATTGATGGTAGGTGTCCTTTCCCTAGAAAATCTGCGATAATACGTAATATGTTTGATTTATTGAAGGGTCATGATAATCATTTCAAAGCACGACACCGGCAATTAACGTTGGTTTTAAAAAGCATTATAGATTTTAAGTGCCTCGAAACACTAGTTCATGAAAACCTCTATTATTAGATGATCGATTGAAAAAGGTATTTCATCCATTGCGATCAGAGTTATGTAATTGTCCTCCAATACACGTAACGTGAAAATTGTGTCTTGTTTGAATTTGAAATTTTTCTTAAATTGATAGTATTATGTACGTGTCATCGCCACACGATATATTTGCAACATAAAATAGTCTTTCAATGATCCAAGGGCCGAAGACAAGAGCAATTCTTATTTAGACTTGGATCCTTGAACCACGTGTAACCAAATCCATTAAACGATACGAGATTACATGGGAGTTGTCTGATTAATGCCCGTGATTGATTCAGGTTCGAGCAAGATTTTTCCAAAGATAAGACAGGGTTGTGGAGACTAGTTAGGTCCGGAACTAACTTTTATCGGCCCCCTAATCAAATTTCAAACTCTAACCTACGACTAAAGAATAACTAACATAAAAAAACTGAAAAAGTTTATAAGTTTCATCAAAATAAATAAAATTCGCACTCCTCGCCATTAAAATAACATAATATACGTGGCTCATTCGAAGTCGGATACATTATTTATTATTTTTAAAGCTTTTATTAAGTTGTGTAAATGATAAATGACGAACCTTCAAATTTTTCCAATTTTAGATATATTTTTATTTATTAAAAAAATTGGGCCGGGCCAATTCGGACCCGAGCATCTCATGCCTGAAACCCGGATCGGCCTAAATGAGAATTATAAGACCCCCTAGAATACTAGCTCGGTCTTACTCAAGAACCGAAAATTCGAGCCAGTTTGTTGCGATCCAATTCGGGTTTTCGAGATTTTGGACTTTTTTGCCCTCCTGGTTCGGTTTGGCATTAAGGAATTGCGAACGTGATCTCTAGGGGGCTGTGGTTAATTTATGGACGAGGCTCCAAGCATAGTACCATAGACTTAGGGCCCGTTTAGCAAGTTACCAAATAGTAAAAATTTCTGTTATTTTGTTCCCAAAATCAGTTTAGGAACAGAAATCCGTTTGTTAAATTTTTTGTGCCCGAGCACAAATTTGCAAAAAATTGTTCCCATAATCAGTTTTGGAACAGAATCAAGAAGAGAAAAAAAGTAGCTTCTTGATTCTAGAATAATTTTTCCATTTCTGATTCTTCTTGATTTTCTTCTCTTTTTCTTGGTTTGTTGTTCTTCTTCCTGCTGCCGCTTGCCGCCGGCCACAGGCCAAGGTCAGCAAGGGTGTCGCGGTCCACGCAGCCTGGGCGAGGGCGGCTTGCGGCCGCGACGGCAAGGGCGGTAGCGAGGGTCGCGACGCCCTCGTCGGCCCTGGCCTGTGGTCAGTTGCCGGCACCGGCGACCGGCCATGGCCAAGGAAGGGAAGGGAAAAAAAAAAGGAAAAAAAAAGAAAGAAGTATTAAAAAATTCAAAATATTATTAAAATATTATTAATAAATTATTTTTTTTGTAATTACCAAACGCATTTCTATTCTTTTTCTATTCTAAGAATATAAATTTTGGGCAGTTACCAAATGCCTTCAAAAGCTTAGAAATTATTTCCGGGCACGGAATAAAAAAGAATCATTTCTGAGCAGAATCAGTTCCCCGGCACAGAATTGTTGCTATGCGCACCCTTAGAGCCCAATGGAGAGATATGGAACTTTTATCTCAACGAGACTTTTGATTTTTCGTAAATATTGGAAAATAAGGATTATCCTTACAAATAAATTATATTTTCACGAAATAAGCGAGGCTTAATCTTCGCACCCAATAGAGGCAATCATTCTCTAAATTCAAAAGTCGTCGAGTCTGAATTGAACACCATTTCTTATGTGCAGTGCTGGATGATACCATGTAAACAATCTTGTAAAAGCACATTAAGTTAAGTGTATTTTTATAATAGAACGTAGTAATCGTTCAATTAAAATGAACTGCATAAGATAAAGCAAAATACGAATCCAGAGTGAGGAACCGGGCGTATAACATTCTTCTTCTTACGTCGTGTCAAACCTAGTCTGCATTTCGTTAGTTCAATCGTTTCTCTTGGTCAAGAAAAAGCATTATGTATGTCTTAGAAATATCAATAATTAGGGTCACTTATGCTTTGCCCCCATAATGTTGGAATTAGTCTCGTCCATTCCCAATTCCTTCTACAATAAAAGAAAATGACATCATTTTGTCCCAATTTCTTCACCATCGATAGCAAATGGCCACGTCAAAATCAAATCTATCCACTTATTCCTGGGGAGAGTCTTCATGAATCGATTTGAGTTGCTGTGTCATCATATGGCATCATCATCACTTGTACTTTGCATTCTTACATGAACCGGTTGCGATTTCGGTAGAGAATCTATTCGTGAACGAGCAACAAACAATATAAAACGTTGTTTACTCTATTTTACACGAAGCAAAATGTAATAGCATCTTTTTGATTCAATACTTTGTTTCGCAAAAAAATGAACGATTTAGAAAATATTTTCTTAAAAATGGTCGCTTGTATCACTTATAAAAATGAATTGACAAAAAAAATATTATCATCAAAATATTTAGATATAAATTATTATCGGTAATGAAAACATTTTTTACCGACTAATTATTATCATGAAAACGGAACCTTGGTATCGTTTGTTTTCCAAGAAAGAACTTTGCCAAAATATATTTTAAAGGAACTTGTTTTAAAGAAAAATGATTCATAGGTTTGGCATAATTTTGAAAATAACATGAAAATCGTTTGTTTATGTTAATTAATAAAAATTATAAAATACACGAGAAGTTTTGAGTACAACCCCAGGTCCTGGATTCGAGCACCGAGGACCGACACTTGGGTTCCGAGTCCCAGCCCTGACCTCAAGGAACCCAGGCCTAGTGACCTAGGACTCGGGTACTGACATTGAGATCCCGGCCCAAGCGACCGAATCCAGTCGTATTCTAAAAAATGAAAAATGACACAAACAGTCCTTGAACTTTAGTTCAATGTGCAATTTGGTCGCTGAACTTTTAATTTGTCAAATGTAGTTTATGAACTTTAACCCAATGTTCAATGTGGTGAATTTAACATTTTTATATAGTTCAGGGATTGAATTGAACATGTACCAAAAGTTCAGGGATGACATCGAACAAATTAAAAGTTCACGAGTCACATTGAACATTGGGTTAAAGTTCAGGAAATATATTGAACAAATTAAAAATTCATGGATCAAATTGCATATTGGCCCAAAGTTCAGGGATTGTTTGTCATTATCCCTTCTAGAAAATCATATATGGTTCTTAAAAGAGATTGTCATTATCCGGAATTTTGTTGATTATGAAAAGATTTTTCGTAAAATTATTTTCCTAAATAATTCAAATGCTGCAAAATGAGGATCATACTTTGGGATAATAATTTTTTTGTGAAACAAAAGGATAATTATAGTCAAATGATTAATGATAGCTGGTGCACACTATAATTAGGATGGGTCATAGTCACGTATCATCACACAATGGACCACAAGATGGCAATTCGTAATAGTCGAGAACATCACCTAGTAATTTCATAAACCGTCGTTTCACGTTCTCAATATATTTCCAAATCGCCCTTAGCTTGTCCTATAACCATTTAATCAATTCTGAACTTATTTTACTTTTCTCTAACTTTCCCAACATATAAAAAACCTGTTCTTCTAACTCTTTTCACTCATAATGCAAATTAGCAAAATATTTCTCCACGAAATAAATCCATGTTCTTTGCCAAGATTATAACATGTTGTTTTATTAAAAAGACACACCTTCGAGATCTAAAGTTATTAAATAGAGAAAAGTGACACAACCCCAATTTTAACGAAATCAACATATAGAAAGCAAACATAAATACTTTAATGAGATAGATTAAATACTTTAATGTGATATATTATTTAGTATTTAGTAATGGCGAGTAATGATTTCCCAATCCAAAATATCGAACCACACCAATGATGGTTAGGCTGATCATCGCTTGGATTTGCCCCATTATCAG